AGTACTGTTTCCAAAATTCATGGCTGCTGAGTAAATTTTTTTCCTACCAAGGCTTATTTCCTATTTCTACAGACCACAGAGTTTGGCTGCAGTTCTTGTCCCATGCAGAAGTATAATTTCCTAAATTTAGGAAGACACCTTAACTTCGTAGATTGAAAAATAAATATGTATAAAATTTATAAATGCCAAAAGGTATCTAAAACCTAGGTAGACTAAAACTTTGCTATGCACAGCCATGAAAAAGTAAGTCTTATTTAACATACAGGCCGGGTCCTGTGCAAGAGTCTAAGGACTCACTAGTCTCTGGTTTATTTCTCATTGTTTCCTGTTTGCTTGGTGATACTGCTGAAGCTTGTATGCCATTTCCTAGGTCAATCATTTTATTTATCTATCATCTGGGTAATATTTTTAGGCCATAATCCTGTGATCTAAAAAAAAAAACAAAAAAACAAAACCAAAAAAAAAAAAAAAAAAAAAAAAAAAAAACCAAAAAAACACAAAATGGCAGAAAACATTTTTCTTTTAGCAAAGTAGTAATATGCCTGTGAGTTCTGGGGCCTAAATTTTTGTTAATTACAAGTTCTCTCATTACTGAGATATTGTTAGAAAAACATAAAATTTGACACTTTATTAAAGGAAAAGTATCTTTACTATTAATATACAAATGGTGAAGAGTGACAATTTTGAAATACCATAAGCCATACTTTCAATGTCTCTCATAAATACAAAACTTCAACATTTGCAGTATACTTTTTACAGTTTAGACATATATATATATACAGCATTTCATAGGGACAGACTATATTGAAATAATAAGAAAACATGATAGTTAAGAACACAGAATTTGAATGGAATGCATAAGTTAAAGGAAATAAATGACTGCATGTTTATTATCACTGAATAGGGTTTAAAAATCACATAAAAAACCCTCAAGGTTTTTTTTTTTTTAATATTTTATTTCAATGTTGATTTAGTTGTTCCAGGGGTTAGAGGCAAATTCTAAACCATTAACACTTTTTGAAGATGCAGAATAGCTGATTTTATTTTAAATGATACCATTCTTTTACAGCAGCTGGTTGTTAGGTTAAACAACTTATTTGTAAATTGAATTATAGAATCTATCACTGTTTACATGATCTTCCAGATATTGGTAGGGTTTTGCCTTTGCTCTGGTATTATGTGCACTATATTTACCTAAAATGATTCTTTTTATTGAGCAAAACTTTCTGAATTTCTTCCAAATGGTGAAGTTTGTTTCACTGATAATTTCCTTTCTTTTTCCTTAGCTCTTTTACTTGGAGGTGACAGAAATATTCCAAACATCATTGCTTTACTTATTCTCTTCCATGCAAGACTGAAATTAGACACTAAAATATATGAGTTTGTAAATCAAAAAAGGATAAAGTTGAAATATATAAATTAATGTAGGAAGTTTCTATAATAATAATTATGAACAATGCCTGGTCAGTAACCAGAAATTGTTTTTAAAATTAAGAAAATTAAAGAGACTGTATAAATTAATTGATTTAAATTATTATGAAAGTATATAGTAATAATGAAACACTTTTAAGAATATTAAGTGTGTTAGCAAATAAATATTTACCATCAAATATAATATAAAAGTCAGAGACTATTATATAAATGGAGATAGTTATTATTTAATAATCTTGTATACTGTTATTAAATATCTACTTCTACATGAGTGAACACAATTAAAATAACGTAAAATAAAACTGAAGGGTGGAGCCTGGAAGAAAATTACATGTACTCAGCATTTACTGTTGGAAGGCCCTTTATAATATTTTCATTTATACAAATATTTGTTTCATATTAGAATATTATTAAGACCATATATATAATTTTATATTAAATACTTCAACTTCTGTGATTAAATTTAAAATTTTAACCAACCACAATTTAATTTTAGAATATGTAAATATATCTATATGCTATTTCAAATTTAGACAGAATGTTCTAAAATATTAAGAAATGAAATTCAGTGATAAATAAGAGAACTCATTTTAAAATCATTTTCATATTTTGAGTTTGTTTTAAAAAATCCTCCAGAAAGAAAACTCCATAAGAAACTCAAAGTATTTATATCATACTCCATGAAAAAATAATGTAATTTTGAATAATTAATATAAGCTACCCCAACTTTTCTTAAAATAAAAAATGTAAACTTCTTTCACCATATCCATGATGTATTTTGATATTTGATTATCTTGTCATCATATATATGCTTTATGATCTCAACAGCAACAGTGAAAACCCAAGTGACACTACAGTAATTGCTCTGATTGTAAATAGCATTTGTTGTAATTTTTATAGCTAACATTACAGTTTCTTAATATGGACTTATCTAGAAAAACAATACAGAACAAATTAAAGTATCTTATCGATGGGCTAAAGAATATTTTTGTCATAAGTGAAAACAAATTCAAATATATATGTACATATATTGTGTTTGGATTTTGTGGCTAAGGGAAAGAAGTTGGAAATAAATTTATTTATTAAATATGAACAATGCAGATTAGTGTCACATGTATGATAAAAATGTAAATAGAGCAGTTGTGATTTTTCTTTTCTTTAACAAAATGTCATGCTCATGTAAAGGCACAGATACCTGTTAATTATTCAAAATAAAGAATAAAGAGATGATTTCAATATACAATTAATTCCTGGAACTTGTCATTCACTTGATTAATAATATCATTTTTATTTATATAGATGCTTAACTCAAAAACTAGGATTCATATGACATTTGTAGGATAAAAAAAACTTTTTAAATGATGTTGTATGTATTAATATTAAAAATAAAAGTTTTAAAGACTCAATCTTAGAGATTAGTATAAATAGAACAGTAATATATTATCCACAAAATAATAAATTAACCTTTTGAAATCACAGTTCTTAACTCATTTGAAATGATTGTAAAGTATTTTTACACACTCATTTGTGCCAGTTTTAAAAATAAAATATGTAATAAAATTCAAATATTAAAGTTTCCTCTTAAAGGACGTCACATAGTTGTCGTTTTTAACTGCTCAACACCTTACATTTATTTGCCTCTTTGTTTTAATTGGTGTAAAGTTCAGATTATTTAACAATAATAAATTTTTGTCCAGTGAACATTTTGTCATAACATATAAGTGGACTCTGAGATAGTTAAAGTTACATGAATTCATTTAGACTAAAACAGAATTAAAAATAAGAATTTCAGGCTTACTCATGAGTTGGAAATTTATGATAAGAAATTTCTCATTTGGGTACTTTACAAATTGTGTAATTAAGCAAACTTCTTTGAAATTAAAAAATTGTTACCACATCAATTCTGCAGGGCATTAGGTTCAAGGATAATATTGGTTCAGCATCTCCTAGGCAACTGAAACCATGCGCAGACTCTATCCAAAGTCACCAAATGGCTCCATAAGATGGACAGGAAATTTAAAACTCTGTTTATAAATTTAATTCAGTTTCTTTCTATAGAAAATCTAAACACATGATAAACCAAAGTTTCAAATCGAGAAAACACAAAAAATATTTTGTCATTTTGATTTCTCTGTTCTTGTGGTATAGCACAAATATGACAATTCTAAACATGCGAAATCGCTTTACCAATCTTACAAATTATCTTAATATCATTAGTTTAAAACCATGTTGTTCTATCCAGGAAAAAAAAAATCAGTGTTCATGGCTATTGCTTTATAGACACCACTAAGCCTGTTCACTTTACACAGACAAACAAATTCAAGTATTTCAACTAGTTTTAGCACATTTGGTACAAAACAAAACAAGCAAATGAAGTACAGCTTTAAAAGAAACCCAAATGACCAGACAAACATAAGCTAAACACCCCAGGCAAATCTGTCAAGACCGTGTTTAATAATCAAGTTGGTCAAAAGGGTTAAACTGATTTGTTTGCTTATTTTAGACACTGTTCTGATTCTTAAATAGGCACAGATTTCTGTTTCGCAAGTGTGTGTTTATGTGTGAATCTGTGTTTGTGTGTCAGTGTTGTTTTATCCTCAGTCTCTCTCTTCAGAATATGCCAGGATGGGCAAGCAGCAAGGAGAGATCCCTGCTTTAACCCTGAATTTACAGCAAAGCGCTGTGGAGATAACAGCACCTTTACATGCCGTTGGGCACATTCAGTCTAGCTGACAGCCAGCAGATGTTGAATAAGATAAAATAAATCATTTGTCTCTCCTTGGATGACAAGCAAGTGCTTTATAAGTAAAAGTATTCCAGAGTGACATTAATATTGTATTTTATTTTCATGAAATTATCCCTAGAGAGAAATGTTGTAAGAGCAAGTCAGTCTGCACCGTTAACAATATTTCTTCAGCGAATTATTAGAATGTATTCTCCAATGCCTCAATGTTGGAGCTATTCATTCTTGATACCAGAACACTGAAACCTTTGAGGAGAAAGGATACTATAAAGACTTTCAAACTCTGACTAAGAAATTCTCTAAACCCTGCTCCCAACATATGTATACTGAAAGTCACGTGTATTTTTTCTTTCATGTAAGTTAAGTCATAATTCAGACTTAGACCTCAGGGAGTTTGCATAGGTTGTAAGTTTTTAACTTTCATATTCTTGTATAGTCCTTAACAAGTGATACTAGAAAGCTTGTGTCAAATAGTTAAATGATCGCTTCAACCATATCTGTTTATCAAAAACCGAAAAATATGTCTAAAGTGGATTTTAAAAGCAATATTTTAAAAACAATAATAGCATTTCAATTGTTCATTTCTCTCCTGGCACATTTGTGTGTTAAAGTAACTCAGTTCAGCATATACTTTTAATGTCCATTAGCCACCTTCATTTAATGAGGAACACATAATATTAATGATTATCTAAAACTGTACACCAAAATATACCTAATATCATTTGAAGTACTTGAAAAAAACTTTATATTTGATAAATTATTTTATAAATTAAAAATAATCATGTATTTATAAATATATAAAGACAACATATTGATATTTTCCCATTTAAATTTACTTTATTTGAAGCTGAGGGCAGAGATCAATACCATTTTTACTTGTAAGACATTTACTTTTGTATAATCCACTGTGAGTGAATATGGTATACATAAAAAGAGATTTAGGGAGTCTTTCTAATGTAATCTTACAGACAACTAATCTTCTTTCAAATGTGTAACAATTTTGACCTGGTATCATTGTACCCAAGATCAATGTTGAAAATGCAATGTGGTCATAAGTTGAAAATAGTTCTCCAACAATTTTCAACTTCTAATATCTGCAAAAGATAACTGGCTGGGTTTCCTGAAATTCCCCTGATAAAAAGTCTAACCATTATTGTGTGCCTTCATCTTAATCCGAGAGCCATTATAATAGTGTGTGTTCCATAAACATGCAGGGCTTTCTTACACATTTTAGCTCACTATGCTTTTGATCTGTCTTCCATTACAACATAATATTTTAGAGAGCTGAAATATATTTGTTGGTGTTACGTGAGACAAAATTTTAAAAAGGAAAGAAAAACACTTTAGCCATATAGTAAATTCCGGTACTTCAATTAGAGAGTCAAACTGAACCCTGAAAATTGGTGCCAATCAAGCCTTTATAGTGAAATCGTTAACAAAAGAAACAACCACAACAACAACAGAAGGAAATGGGCTGTGGCAGGAGGACTTGATCATATGTATATGTATACAAGCTATTCCAAGCTAGACTTTTCCCAAGAAATTAAGGTCAATGGAATAGTTTTGGTCATAGTGTCACTGCAATCCAGATGCTCTCTGTGGTGCGACTAAGCTGCTGAAACTCGTGACTATGCTTTGCCGTCATCGTCTTTAGACTGGATGATGTCATTAGACACTTTAATTTCTATAGTTTCTGCATTCAAAACTTCTTTTCCATTTTCTTCTTTTAAAGGCAATTTTCTGAAAATAAACAGAAATAACAAACTCAGTTTATGGGGATAATTTAAAACCTGCTTCTAACCATTTCAATAAGCATTTTTAGATGAAACCTGAAATATTTGTAACACAGAAAAAGATGCATGCTTATTTTAATACTTATTTTATTCTTGGAGATATAATATAACCATTTTGTCCTCATCCTGTTTCTTCCTTCTAGTCCTCACATATATTTTCCTTGCTCATGGCCTTTTTTTTCCATTAATTATTATTTGCATATATGTATCTATGAATATATTCTAAAGTCTCAGTCTTCCATCTTTATAATGTTCAGTTTTAATTTTTATTTATTTATTTATTTTTAATTTTTGTTACTAATTACATTTTATTCACATTGTATCCCTCCTGTAGTTCCCTCCCTCCTCCCCTCCCAATCCCTCTCTTCCTCCTCCTTCTCCACAAATGTCCCTCCCCAAGTCCACTGGTAGAGGAGGTCTTCTTTTCCTTCCTTCTGATCCTAGTCTGTTAGGATTTTTTTTTTTTTAATGAATGCTTTTGTGGACAAAATTTTACGTGTTTAAAGAATTTATTGAAAAATAACCTACTATGTAATAAAATAATATTTACCATTATAAAATATAATGTAATACAGAGAATATGTGAAACAAGGTGTTTGTGAACACAGATGTGCCTAATTGTTCATTGTTGGGCAACATAGACTTGTTCATGAGTTTAAATTAAAAATAAGTGTGTTTTAAATTATTAAGAGCCCAATTTCTGATATATGTAGAGTTGCTTTACCATCTCTAATAACTGTAAAAAGAATTGGTGGGTGAGATATCATTGCATACAATTAAAATTATGTGAATCATCACTATCATTTAGAAATTAATGGGGATTTGTGGTATTTAGGAATTCATTTCTTATATTTCACATTTACCTATCTGTTTCTTTAGCCCTTTTCAGATTATTTTTCTGCATATTTTTAAATGACTGCTAAATATATATTGGGAGAGTTGTTTCTGATTCTGACAATGAAACAGTTTCAGTTTTTAAAAAGTTGTATTTTTTATGTATATGAGTGATTGTCTACGGGTATGTGTGTGTCTGTTTTCTATGTGTCTCTAGTACTAACAGAGGCCAGAAAAATGTGTAGGGTTTCCTGGAACTGGACTTGCAAAGGGTTGCAAGGCATTATGTAGGTACTGGATGTTAACTGATCCTGAGTCCTTGATAAAAGGAACAATTGATCTTAAATATTGAAAAATTGCTACAGGTTCCATGTTACTTTTTTATATTTTAATCTCTGAAATCTAGATAGTTTTATTTAATTTTAATTTGACAGGACTGAAAATTTTCTATTTTTTCTTCTTTTGTAACATTTACTCGTTAAGTGGTCCATCTTATGTGTGCTATCTTGGGAACTAGTCCTTCCTTCATAAAATGATGGTCTAAATAAATGTTCACAAATACAACTTCAGCCAACCTCTGTCTTTAATTTAATATCATATGGAGGAATTAATGTTGCAATTTATGTTATATTTCTGATGGGGGAATAAGAATTTTGCCATGAGAATCCAAGCAGATATGTTAAAAGTGACATAAATCAAAATCAGGGAGTTGTGGTGTAATTAGTGTAAAGTAAGGGAAATCAGTATTGGAGAAGAGGATGAGAAAAGGCTGAGATGCGAAAGGCCTTGCCTGGAAATGAATCCTATGAGCGACAACACTAACCTGCTAGTCAAGGTGGCATGACTACTATAGTGGATTTGAGGCCTTATTAGATTTGAAGCCTGTTCCCCAGAAAGGATATCCAATCCTGGTATTATAAACCAGGAAAAAAAAAAATAATGGTTAAGAAAGTATTTTATTGCAGAGTTGAACTTATTTTTGTTTGACTTAATTGAAAAGGTTCCATACTATATGTTCATGATTCGACACTTAAATAAATGCTTCTCACAGTCTTAATCACTCTTTACATGAGTGGTAGTTAAGGCAGAGTCTCAAAGCTGTTCAAGATGCTGCCAATAAGCAACTAATGCGTGAAGAGGACATTAATATTAACCATATAAAGACTCACGGAACATATTGGAAGAGAGTTGAAAAGAATATGAATCAAAACATAGAATTTCTGTGAAATACTTTCCTTTGGAAATTTTATTCATTAGTAACATGTCTGATCCGGGCCAGCACTGGCTTGAGACTACCAGTTCTCTGTCATGAACTAGTGCATGCCTTAGAAGGCCACACGTATCCTCCTGCTGAACTACTGACTACTGATGGACTATGGGGCAAAATTTAGTTATAACTTAAAGTGTGAATTTCCCGAAAATTGTCAATTAGTATAAAAAAATTAACTCTGAAATACATTTTCTTTTATTTTCAACATTTTACATGATATTTTAAATATATAATTTAAAGACTTAATTTTTTTCTCATACAATACTGAATTTTCTTTATTAAATTTTTATTTTTTATATTAATTACAGTTTATTCACTTTGTACCCCAGCTGTAACCCCCTTCCTCATTTCCTCCCAACCCCAACCTCCCTCCTTCATCTTCTTCCATCGCCCTCTCCAAGTCCACTGATAGGGAAGGTCCTCCTCCACTTCCATCTGACCCTAGCTTATTAGGTCTCTTCAGGACTGTGACCTGGCAAGGCTGCTCCCACTCAGGGGGAGGTGATCAAAGAGTCAGCCACTGAGTTTCTGTCAGAAATAGTCCCTGTTCCCCTTACTAAGGTACCCACTTGGATACTGAGCTGTCATGGGCTACATCTGAGGACAGGTTCTAGGTTATCTCCTTGAATGGTCCTTGGTTGGAATATCAGTCTCGGGAAAGATTCCTGTACCCAGATTTTTTAGTTCTGTTGCTTTCCTTGTAGAGCTTCTGTCCTCTCCCGGTCTAACTATCTCCCCCTTCTCTAATAAGATTCGTTGCATTCTGCCCAAAGTTTGCTTATTAGTCTCAGCATCTGCTTTGATACACTGCTGGGTAGAGTCTTTCAGAGGCCTTATGTGGTAGGTTCCTGTCCTGTTTCTTGTTTTCTCCTTCCATTGTCCACCCTGTTAGTCTTCCTGAGTGAGGTTTTATCATCAATATTGAATTTTCAAATAAAATATTTTAACAAAATGTTCAGTAATCATCAAATGAAATTTTATCAATAGAATAAATTAATTCCCTCAATAATAATTGTACTTTTGATTTCATATTACAAATAAATCATGTTTTGCTATTTTACTGTTATTAATCCCCAAATATAAATATTTGTGGTTCCATACTCAGGTTCTGTTAGTGGTGTGGTTTCATTTGGCTCATTTACTGGACTCCCATCTTCATGATTAGTGATTCTTTCATCCTCTGTTCTCATTTCCACTATTGGTTCTTTTGATCCATCTTTCCTAAGAAAAAAATATATACATATAATATTTAATTATTCAGTGTGTCAAATACACTTATGTGTGCATTTCACACACACACACACACACACTAGACATTTTTCAATATATCAAATATTAAACATTTTTCTTTGATACTTCCATGATTTTTTATTAACTAGAAAGAAGCAATGTAGTTTCTTTTTATCATAATTATTGTAATTTTTTGTAATTGTTTTTGGTGTTAGGCAAGGTAGCAAACGTCTGTAAGTCCAGCACCCAGGAGCCAGTAATGAAGATTGTAAGCCTAAGGCTAGCATGAGACTACACATAGGCTAGGGTCAGAGGGCAGGGAGAAGGGCATGGGGAAAGAAGAGAGAGGGTGGGATTGAGAGAGGACCAAGAAGGTTGCTACAGCTGGGATACAAAGTGAATAAATTGTAATGAATAAAAATTAAAAAATTTAAAAGACTACACATAAAGGCCATTTTTTGAAAAGTTAAAAAAGGGAAACATTATTTTGAAAAAATTATGTTTTTAAAATCTATGTACTAAAATTAAAATATTTTATTAACCAATGAGTATAATATGAAGACATTTGCCCAATTAAAAATTAACCACAAAATATTTAAAACAATGTATACCGATATTAAGAAATATATAAGAACTTATATAAGAAATGTATAACAATATTAGAAACAATCACTAGAAATAGTGCTTCAATTTCAGAATGCTAAAAGTAAAATTTAAAAGTAAGATAGAATCTACTGGTGAAATATTCTTCTGCCAACTTTTGCAAAAGATCTTAAATTTAACAATAACATTAATTTTTATTCTACTTTACTTAACAGTATATTAAAAAAGTAAGCATTGTAAAATATGTGCATGAATTTTCATTTGTAAGTTCATAACATATTATCATCTTTCCAATGTCTAAAGTATATGATATTTTCCAATTAGTGTAAGCATTAAAAACTTATTTGAAAAATGCGTATGTCAAATAATGACTAAAAGCTGAAAAACAAGAAATAATTTGGTAGTGTTAAAAGATGACATTGACAAACTTACCAGTGATTTGCTTTGGGTACAGATATCAAATTTGGTACCAACTAATTAATTAATGAATGAAAGATTTTCAGATTCATAGATTTTAGTGTTATGCATATAGCCAGGTTTACTTCTTTATTACAAAATGATTTAAATTTTTGTAAGGATAATAAAACACTTCCATTTTCATTGGTTTCTTTTATATCTAAACATCCCATTAAAATACATTAATATTTAAAAATAACATTCATTATAAAAATAAAGATAGTGCAGTTTTCAGTAACAAGGTGTCTACTTTTGAAAACTAAATGCCAACGGGAATCAGTGCTTAGTCATGTCGTGTCAGATGACTGGCTCACAGATGGAAGATCTGTCTGAGAATGAGCACAGGTGAAGGGAGGTTGGGTTTTAATTTTGGTTTAAGATATTACAGATTTTCTGGTGTTCTTTGTTGTCTTGGAATAATTTTTTGTGTTTTGCAAAAACAAAACTTACATGTGTTAGAAAGTTAGAAAGTATTTTATCTTTATCTCTACTATGAAACAAATTGTGGGATCTGCCACAGAATGCTCACTCTATCTATAATGTGCATTGTTATTCATATAACTCACACTTTATCTTAATAGCCACATATGAAGTATTTGGTAAATACAACTTTTTGAAAACAAAGCAAACTACAAGACATCCTAACCACATCTCTCTATTCAGATCCACTTTTTCTCCATTTTCTGTTAAGACATGGGACAAAACAAGATAAAATAAGACATGACAAAAGTCTTCATGTTGCGGCTGATCAAAGCAACCAAATAGGAAGAAAGGAGATTCAAGAACAGGTGAAAGAGTCAGAGAAACATCTATTCCCTTTGTAAGGAATATCACAAGAACACCAAGCTAACAGCCATAACATAACACGAAAGACCTGGTGCAGACCCAGGCAAGCTTTGTGGTTTTCCTTCAGTTAATCAAGCATGGAGTCCTGCTAAATTAAGATTGGGGAAACTCACAGAAGAAGGGGAGAAAAAAAATTGTAGGAGACAGAGGGTATAGAGGGCAGGCGCCGGGTAAATGTAAGTTTTCTGAAGTATTTTCAGCGACATATTTGTAAGATCGGTGATAGTGGAAAGGTTTATCATCCTATGATTACTTTTCCATCTCCGAGTGAATTTATGTTTCTGAACTGTACCCCGAAAATGTTGCTCAAAGCTTGCTAACAGTTTTGTAGGGCAAGGATGGTTAAAACAGACTAATTGTTGTTGTTGTTGTTGTTGTTTGGTTGGTTGGTTGGTTGGTTGGTTGGTTAGTTGGTTAGTTGGTTGATGGGTTAGTTTGGCTCGGTTAAGTTTTTTCCTCCTCTGGTAGAAAACACAAGTAGGATAGGTTGTCTAAGAGTCACATATATAAAGATCTAGTTAAGTATTTTCGTACTAAAGGAAATTACTTTTGAGAACAGAACATTCAGTGCATTTCATACTTGCAACATTTCTTTTACTAAGAACTGGCCAGCTTCCTGTAAAATTCCATATGAACCATCCTTTCCTGAAAGTTTGTTTCTTAGACTTGTCCAATCTGGGAACCCAGAAAGATTTCTGGTTATCCTACCCCTTCTAAGTGCTTTCACATAGCTATCTACTTGTGTGAATCTCCTCTGTTAATTGTGAGTCTCTCTCTTAATTGTTTGGACAGTAACAATGAGATTTTCCAACCTCAGCGGAACATTACTTCTCTTGATGACCTAAGAACATTTGTTGATTTTCTGGCTTACTGAGTTTATAACTTAATAGGCAGGAGTGGGAACCTCGAAACTATGGAGAGCCAAATCAGGAAATGTTATGTTGAATTTGTGTTTTCTATGATTGTTTCTCAGAAACTACATTCTTTATATTTCTTACACATTTCTTCATTTCAGAGATCAAGTCATACTTTCATGTAAAGTGCATGTTTTGCATACACTCTATTTTGTTAGTCTAAAGCTCCATTCTTAAAGCTAAAACTGTGTTACTTGGTTGCAGTAGTGTTGGGACTGAGAATACTCCCATCTTATGTAGAATTCCAGCAATTTTTTTAGGCAAAAATGAATGCTTGAATACATAAAAATAGACGATTAATCCAGCAAAAAGAAATTGCTACCATTTTAAAGAAAAGTCTAGTAATATGTGATAAACTTCACTTAATATTAGCAACTTAATAAACTAGTCCTTAAAATTATGAGGTACTGCTTAGAAATTAATGAATTTCTAACAATTCCAATTAGCTACAGTTTAATTCTCATGGGTGTTTTATAAATTTTTCAGTAAGAGAGCAAAGCATATTGAGGTTTCTTGCAAAGTCAGAAGATATTTTTATCTTGTATTTTACAAGTGATGGCAGGTGTGACATAAATCATATGTTTTCACCTCTTTATGATGAATTCTATTCAGCATGACTTAGAAACAGCTCAGCTCATGGTAATGTGAACACAAAACAACATCAAATAAAAAGCCATAACTTGTGAACATCTGTTACGTTTGTGCCCTATTTCTATCCTTCTTCTAGTCACTCCAGGTAAACCTCAGAGGGAATCATTCATTGATTCTAAAGTAAAATTAATTAAGAAAATGTAGTTCACACTACTTCAACTACATATAAATAATTCCTTTTTGCTTTGAGATAGGATCATGAACCTATGGGAGTTTTTCTGATTCGTGGGACTACAGGAATGTGGATATGCCTCACAAAGTTTTAACACTGTTTCATCAGTGATGTTGAGCAGAGGTCCTTATGTATATAAAAAAAAAACCTAATAATAATTTTGTTATTTTGATTTACCAGACAATGTACCAAAGAATATTACTAGGATATAAAAAGTATGATGAAAGCAAGATAAATTGCACACTAAATTAATCCCACTGTCATTGATATGCTATAAACTTTCATCTGAAATTACTTCCTGTCATTTACACTTTGTTTTCAATCTCAAACTGATGATAATTTATTTTAAAGAATTAAAAATTTTATTAAATAATTCATATATCTATGTATGATGTGTTATGGGCAGTGTCTGTATGTGTGTGTCAGTGTTTGTGTGTGTGGCAAACACCTGTGAAAGAATTGTAAATTGGCTTAAATTGAAGTGCAAAAGAAACCAAACTTGAAGCAAAGCAAAGTGGAGAACTACCAATGTAAAGTAAATTTTGGTCAAGGACAAAAGCTTGTTTATGCTTTGGTGATTAATTAATTCAGTATTGTTGTACTGGATAAAAGATGACATGAAAAAGTGACACAAGAGAAAACAAGAAAAGACCCATTTCTATGTGTCTACCTGAGAGATGACCAAAAGACATTACTATTGGTAAGTAACATGCGCCAGTTTCAATCAGCAATGCTGCTGTATATACCTAATATGAAAGTGAATCTATTTATTTCCCCTTCTCGGTGAGATCAAGCCTATCTCCTTGGGTCCTCCTTGTTACTTAGCTTCTTTGGGTCTGTGGTTGTTCCATGGTTAAAAAGCACTTTATGACTAATATTCACTTGTAAGTGGGTACAAGTGAATATTACCTTTCTGAAATCTGGGGTGGTTGGAAGGAGGAGACTGAGTAAAGCAAGGGATGGGGATGGGAAATGGAAGGATGAGGTAGGGAGATAATGCAGGGAGAAGGTTACTGGGACTGACAACTGGATTGGGAGTGTGGGCGTCTCTTGGACTGCATAGGATAAGGTCAACTTCCAAGAATCTATGACCCTACCTAAGACTCTTAGCAATGGGAGAAATGAAACCTGAACTGGCCATCTCCTGGAACCAGGCAAGACTTCCAGTGGAGTGATTAGAACAACAACCCAGCCGCAACCTCAGACTCACAGTTTATCCTGCCCTCAAGATGTGCAGGCATAAAAGATGGAGCAGAATCTGAGGGAAGAACTAACCAATGACTGGCCCAGCTTGAGACCCATGCCATGGGAGGGTGTGTACTCCGGACATTATTAATGATATTCTACTA